GGCCCCCCCCTCCGGCTGCTCCGAGCGCTCCCGGGGCTCCCCCAGGGCCGCGGGCGTGAACTGATCCGTAAGGACTCGGCCTGGTGCGGTGGGGAGACGGAGGAGTCGAGTGACTCCTTCCTGTGAGGGGTGCCTGTAAGTCGGAGTTTAGTCGGGTTGTTCCTAACCCCTGCCTAACTTTGAGTTCTGTCTCCGCGGGGTAAGCGGCGACTACAGCTCCCAAACTTGGTCCGCCGAAGTAAGGTTGCCCCTAAACTTTGTTATTAATGAAGAACATTATGGTCGGAGCCAATGACAGCGACTCTGAACGACTCCATTTAAGCTTTTGTGGGAGGGAGCAAGCTAACTCGCTGAAGCAATCAAAGAAAAGCATATGTAGGATTTGTAATAATCCATGATGTTTCATATCAGCAGAAGCAAAGGAGCATGTTTAAGTTCACTGGTAACTTGGTGGTATTTAGAAACTTAACTGAAGACTTGCACTGTTACCGGTGTAAATAGCCATGAATCAAACAGAGACCAGATTGCCACAAGCTCCTTGTGTAGGAACCTTTTGAGTAGATATAGCTAACCTGTGATTTAGTAGAGAATGAGGTCATCAGCAAGGTAGGTGTTGTAGGGATCAGGACCTCAAAGAAGACCCCAGAGTTATAATGGAGACCTCCAGGGTACTGTAGCAGAAGTCAGTGCTTGAAAAGGTGGATGAAAAATACATACCCACTGGCTGGAAAGATGCCTAAAGGTAGTCAGTAGAGACTTCAGGTTGCTGGGGTGCATATGGAGAATGCAGACAATTATATTTTTCTTATGGTGTAGTCAAACCATTAATTTGATGGTGGTGTGCTGGCAAAACCCTAGTATAGTTAAAGCTGAGGAATCTTTGTAATGTACATAAGCTGTCAGAAGCCCTGGAGGTGTCTTCATCCAGCTGGAAACTAAATGCTCTTTTGATGGTGGGTGTTTATAACTCTTTCAGAGAACGATTTCAATTTTCTATCAGCAACTGCTCAATCTAAGTTGTATAAAACACTGCCTGCAGCCCCGTCTGGGATACAGTTGTATTCCTTCTTGTTTGCTTGCTTCTTGGCCCTAGCATTCCTTCCCCCCACTTCCACCACAGGTCCAGCTTACATAGCAATGGTGAAGAATGCAACCGTCCAACTGGCAGTCTCAAGGTCTACCTGTCTGCTGAGCCTTAAGTACCTGCTGCCTTCCTCTGGAAGGTGGGAGACATTCTGAGGAGAGCCTTGATTCAAGGCTTCCTTTGCAAGTGCTCTATTAGACTTTGGTGTCAAAGGTATTAGCTCCTTTTTCCTAATTTTTTCTGGTGGAAAAGGCCACTGTGTTTCTTCTAAAACTTGATGTTAGTACATGTGAAATGTGTCTGTGTAGCAGTTTGTGATCCTTTTCAGAGTGTGCAACTACAGTTCTGCCTAGTTTCTGAGGCTCAGTAACTCAAAATACTGCAGTTCTGTCTGTGTTTAGTGCTTAATGACAGTGTTTCCAGATCCAGCAGTTTCAGGCAAAATAATTGCTCAGTGATCGTTTAGTCAGTTCTGGTGAATTATTGGTTTGAATTTAGGAAGACTCAGCTGGTTGGCTCATTCTTACATGGATATAAGTCCTGAGTGGACTGCATGACATTTCTGACTCCATACCCTTTTCATAGTAGAGATGGATTAGTTGGAAGAAAAAAAAAAGTGTCAGTACTTCTTTCTTTCTTTTTTTTTTTTTTTTTTTTTTCTTTTCCTATAGAATTTGTTTAGGTTGAATTCCTAGGGAAATAAAGGTGATATAATAACACTGTTTGTGCTTTCCTTGTAGAAGCATGAGCCTTTTGGCTACTCTGAACCATGTCTGGAGGAAGGAAAGAGTCTTGCAGATGGTTAAGATCCTGTTAGTTTTGTGAAATTCAGCAGCTGGGTACAGTAAAGGGATCTAAACTAGCTTTCCACTGAGAGGAAGCAAAGGGAGAAATCAATGCAAAATTTTCCATTTGGCAGTAAACTTCCCATTTAGTTCAGTTGACTTGGGTAACTGGGCTGGTAGTTCAGATTAGCCATGGTTCTGCTGACTCTTGTGTAATCAGAGTGTGCTAGAATGGCTAAAAAGACATGAGTGTGGGGATGTGCAGCTCTAGGAAACCGGGCTTTTTTTTTTTTTTTTTCTGTTCATGGAGCTTGGAACACCTTGAATTTGTGAACTTTTTGTAGAAAGCCACGAGATCTGCAATTTCCCGTGATTTTGGGACTGCTTTTTTTTCCGGTCAGAAAATTAATTCGCAAAAGTTCATATTCCTGGACATCTCTGAAGTATAATAGATCTGTTGTACCCATTATACAGAATATTTATAAAGTGCAGTTTAATTAGAGATTCTTCAGGTAACTGTGGCCTAGCTTTCCAACACATTCCTTTGAAACAAACCTGTCTGGTAAGTTCAGTTTCTATCAATAACAATTTCAATTCCTTTTATTATTACATTTATGAACAGTTGCAGGCTTTAGAAGGAGAAGGGAAACTTGGGGCATAAATTTTTAAATAAATTTCTTGGTAGAGATCAAAGGAAGAAATGCAAAACTTTGAAAACTTTGTAAGAGCTTGGTGCAGAACAAGCATAGGTATTTGCATGGGAAGCTTCACAAGTGTAGCTATAATAGTGATATGAAACCCTTAAACTGAAAGCTGTAAAACTAATTGGAGGGGGAAAATGGGAGCAAAATAGTGTTCTAGAAATAATTCGTTAAAGTAGAACTTTCTGGAATACTACTTTTTCAGTGGTGGTTTTTAAAAACTCTGAGAAAAGGAGCAAGACTCAAACTTGCCTTCAGTTTCTTTCCACAAAGAACATGAAACTTACTCCAAAATTATTCTTTATCGTTTCAGATGTTGGATGAAAATAACCATCTTATTCAGTGTATAATGGACTATCAGAACAAAGGAAAGACGTCTGAATGCTCTCAGTAAGACATTAATCCAAATCTACTGTGGATTGGTTGAATTTCCACCTAGATCACCATGCTTGATTTGTTTAGCTCACCTTGGAGGAGAACTATGCTGTGAAGAACAGAAAAGTATTGCTACAGATACTACACTTAGAATTTATGGGGTTTTTTATTTGCCATATGACTGTCACTTCTGTCACTGAAATGCTGCAACTTGCCTACTGCAAGTTGATGTCATGATGACGACACCCATGAAAATGGGGACTGTATAACCACGATGTTTTTCCTCTGCATCACAATTACACTTTGGGAAAGAGATAGTTTTCTTCTCCAAGTGTTCAAAATCATGTAGGAATGGATCTTTCTTCTTCCTGACGGCATGTTTGAAAACTACCTGCTTACCACTTGCCCAAGAACAAAGAGTCTTGTCTTAAAAGTTTGGCTTGCCAGAATAGCCCGCGTGGACTTGCTGTCTAGTGGGGTCTCTGGAGAGTGATCTGAGAGAACTGTGGAAGGAGTGAATTATTAAGGAATATTATTTTCCCGTACTCGTTTCTGGCATGGGATGATCATGGCACCCTTGTAATCAGACAAATACAGAGCCATGTGATAGATGGGGCATCACAGTGTGGCTTGAGTCTCTTACTAAGAGAACTGATAGTCTGCGAGTAGGAGGGGAGTCACAAATAGTAGGTATTTTTGCTTTAAGGGAATACTTTTATTGTAGCACAGTTACTGTGTTAAGCTGTTCGCATGCCTGCTGTTATGTATTTGTGATCTGTTCCTGCTTTCAAGGTTATTTTTGTGACTGTGGGCTAGATGTTGAGACTCTGGAATGTGGTTCTGTAGCAGAAAAATCATTCCATAGCAAACTTCCAAAGCTCAGGGTCCTGATGAAATATTTGCACTGTTCTTGGTCACAATTCATATAAACATATAACATCTTGTATCTGGGGACATAGTAGAAGTCCCTAGTGTTTGTGATGGAAATTACACCAAACAGCCACACACACACTGTATATGTCTCCTGGTGGCTTAGTTTGGGGCAGGAAGGTGAAATAGGTGAGAACAGTGTCACCCAGCTTTAGATTTTTCATAGGAACCCAGAAGTTTTAGAGAAGATACAGGCAGAGATTTGATGGGAAAGACTGGGTAATAGGTAAGTGTGAGGGGAAAAGGCTTAGGATTCCTAGTAATGGTACTCTTGTGAGTCTCTTGAATCTTGTTTTACATAGGTAGCTTTCTTTGCATGTGTAGAATTAAAGTAAATTCTGATGTTATTGTATTTGTGGCTGAAGGTCTGTTTTGCTTTTGTTTCTTTTGATAGATACCAGCAGATGCTGCATACAAACTTGGTTTACCTAGCCACTATAGCTGATTCCAACCAGAACATGCAGTCTCTACTACCAGCAGTAAGTACAAAATAATGTAAAAGTAGGGAATAGATTTTATTTGGGTTCCTGGAGAAAAAAAGCCAAAACCAAACAGAAGTGTTTGAGGTAATGACCAAACATCTAGCCTCTGTACTGTACAGTGAATACATGATGCAGTGTCTCTTTGTGCTGTATTTGGAGTAATCTCACTGCTCAAGTCTTGCTCGAAATCTGACTTGTTTAACTGAAGACTGTTACTCTGAGTTAAACGCACAGTGCACAGATTATCTGGCCTGCATCATAGATAGTCTTAGATTCCGCCCCCCCCCCAGCCTCAACTGAGAACTGTAGTGGTGTGGCTCTTGGTCAGCTCCTACAGCAGTACTCTGTTTTTCCTCTTATGTTGGGGAAAGGTGGTGGTGGGGTGGGATTTCTTTTTTTTAATTTTTTTTTTTTCACTGGAATATCATCCATTCTTTTGCCTCAGTGGAATGAGGTTGTTTAAATCTTTGGCTGCTTTTCTGTACTCTAGGTAAGTTTCTTAAATTCTTTGCCTCTCTCCTGTATCAGAAAGCAACCTTTTTTAAGGTGGACAATAATATGCAAGAAATAAGGTTGCACAGGCTTAACTTGAAACGCTGTGTTGCTTTACAAATGAAGCATTTCTTGGATAATACTTAAGATTTTTTTTTTTAATCTGGAGTTTTCTGAATCTGTATTCCTGAACTCTTTATTTTATAAGATACCTCAAATTTTTCCCTCTTATCATTGTTTATGGAACAGTAAGGAAAGATACAACAAACATTAAAATAGCTTGCTATCTGTTTGCTTTTTGTGCTAATCGGAAAGCTTGGGGAGTTCATTGTGAGTAACACAAGGAAGTTCTTTGTTTTTTGGTAATAAGACTTTTCTTGAATTAATATAGTCTTGATTCATTTCTGTAATATGAAGCTAAAAAGAATGTCTATAAAACAGCCATTCCTAGATACTAGTTTTCACCAACTGAAATTGAATTACTTTTTCTTTGGTCTCTGGAGGAGTGTTCTCCAATCATTGCTACTAGCAAAGCATCCTTTCAAGTTGGTACCTAGAGGACTATAGAAACAGTGCTTCATTATGTCCAACCTGTTGTGCCTGTAGAGGCTTCTCTTTTTATAAATCCATGCTTGTAGCTGAGGGGGAGGGAAAGAAACCTTTAAGAGGGCTGTGTGTATTACTCAACTAATACGTTTTTGGAGGCTTAATTCATATCCTGGTTCTGATGACAACTGGAAATGAATTTGACCTTATCTTAGTCCCTGGTGAACAGTCCTGTTCTTAAAGCTGAATGTGATGACATTCTCTTCTTAAAAGAAAATGAAGATAGGGCCAGGAAAGATTTTAGCAGATCAGGACTGAAGTGCATTTCTGGTCTTGAACGTAAGGAATATTCCACAGTAGTGAGAAAATAGTGTAGTGTAGTTCAGGTTGGGGCAGGAGGGGAGTCCCCTTTGGACAACTGAGGGGGGAATAAAAAGGTAGCTTCTTGGTGTTTCTTTCAAACTAGAATACAAAATGAAATTTAGATGTTCAGTCTTACCTATGTGTAGACACTCTGACATACGAAGTCAAATCTTTGAAGATTTGCCTGAAATGGGGTAACATAATCAGATAAAGACTTTTTTTTTGGGGGGGGGGGGGGGTTAGAAAAATATTCTTTAAATTCTTTGTCTTCCCAAAAAATTTTAGCCAGAAGAATTCAGGATCATGTGAGCTACCGCTTTTTTCAATGCAAGTTAAACTACTTCAGACTCTTCCTTTATTGGCTTTCTGTTTAAGAACTGATGAGGCTCAAGTTGACTTGGAAGTATTATGTTTCTGTTCACCATGCTTCTGTGTCAGCTGTTGAACAGTCTTACTAAATTCAGGTGTTGTGGGTAGCAACAGTTAAATATGGAGCAAGATACTGTGTGTGTAAACATCTACTATTTTTAATAGTAAAATACATCAACTTTATGATACTACCATTGCAGTAGTTTCCCAGATAACTTAGGAGGGCTGGAGTCTGGACAGCTTCTGAAGTGGGATTGTATCTATCCATATCTGGAAGATTGTTCCCCTAGTAAACTATACTTTCTTTCTTCTTTAAATTTAATCTTGTTTTTGTTTTAATCTGGTAAATACACTCTCAAGAAAGTTCACAACTTAACTGCTACTTTTTATAAAATGCTTTATGTGATAAAATGAGGTTGAAAAGAGAATACTGCTGTTAAGGTAGCATTCACACTGAACAAAAGAGCTAAATGATCACGTTTGTTTGAGGTTGTTAATATAAGCTAACATGACTTGAATGTGACATTGTATCCTCTCACAATACTTCTTAGGCTTAATGCTTCATATTGTTGGGAAAAACGCTTGTAGTCAGTTTCTGTGCCTCTGTCCCCATCTTCCAGAATGCGCTATTCTAATCAAATGACTGTACATCCTTTCTGAAAGTGTGGTGTTGCCTGTAGAGAACAAGATGAATCTTCCACTAAACAAAAGTGTAGTGAACCAACTGTGGTGAGCAGAGAAATGCTTCTATAAAGGGGCCCTGGAAATGAGGAAAAGGTGAGACAGGTGAAGCAAGCATTGCAGGGTGTGGGTGAAGGGAACTAGAAAGACTTTGAAACTCCAGTGTCATAAAACAGCTCCTGTTGTCTTTATGCATGATAAATTTAGAGTATTAAATTATGAATTCTGGGGTAAGAGACCTTCCTTCACATCAGAAGATAAAGTAAGTGTGAGGTTAATCTCCTTGAGTCAACCAGTCTTTTCTCAGCCATGTGAACAGCAGCATTGCTAAGGACAGGGCTGTTTTGGAGTGTCTTCCCAGCCAGGCGAGAGTGGTGGCTAAGTCCATGTGAGAAGTTGATGTAAGTTTTTGCTGCCACTTTCTGAGTTATGGCAGGTACTCTCTTTCTTGGACACCAGTTGAAAGTCTGTTTACCACCACCATGTGGGATAAGCTGGCTTCCCAGAAAGGGCTTGTAAGGTGAGGAACACACCACTTGCATTCTTTTGATTTTCATTGGTGCTGCTTTTGAGGGAGGCAACAGCAAAGTATTAGTCTCCTTGAACTGTAGAGAGCAAAGATGCAATTAAAGTTTGTTACTGGGACTTGCAAGAGAACCTCGAAAAAATAGTAGTGAAGTACTGTGTGTGTGTTTCTAAGCACATTGAATCTGAAACTGCGGAACAGGCACCTTATCCTCCCTGACTTGTATTTTTTGTTGTCTCGAGAGAGAGAGTTTTAGTGGTATTAAAAAGTCATTGCAAACTATTGAATAAGAAAAAACCTTTTCCACTTGGATGTTTTTCCTCCCCTGTATATCTTCATTTTGCCAAATACTTATAAGAAAACAACCCATGACCATCACTTTATTGGGAAAAGTAGAGGGGAACTTTTGTCCTGCACTCCAGCCTTTCCATTTTGGCATTTATAGCAGGCAAATATTGAGGTCTGCAGGAATTATTTGATTGGGAACACTTGTTTTGTTTTTTTTAAACACAGAAAAAGTGATTTCTCCCCCCCCCCCAGTTTTTCTTGCATAATGCAACTTGCTGTCAGCATGCAGAGCACTTGATTTCAGTGTGTATTTCAAGAAAGTGGTGAAAATAAATGCTTGTGATTATTACTCATTTCTATAACGTACCACTTTTCTTTTATATTGAAAGTACCAGTTTCTTCCAGTAGCAAGCTAATTTCTGTATGTGAAGTGACTTCCAAGAAAACTCATTGTGTCTGAGTTGTAGAAAAATGTGCACATTGCATTAAATTGGTTTTGTTAATTTCATAATATTGGAAAGGTTATTAATAAACTTATGAATAAGAAAGTTTTTTTTTTCCTTGCTTGAGATACTTCTCTCAAGACTAATGCTTTTTGTAGGACTTGTGAAATCCCTTGATGTATGCTGTTCCCAAACTTGTCACACAGATTAGGGCAGAGTCCCTGCCATTTTAGTTATAAAACACTTCTATATAAAATGGTGATTGCTTTTTATAAACACCCAACATCAGCGAACACTGAAATACTGGTTACTTCCAAAGAAACTGCTTCAAGAGGTAGAATGATTAAACATCATTACTAGCACCTGACTAAAACTTTTCTTCAAGTTCCTTATTGGAAGATGGTGGGGTTTTGTTTGTGTGGTTTTTTTGGGGTTTTTGGTTTTTTGTTTTTTTTTTAAAGCTGCAGAGTTCAGGTTGCTAAATAAGAGTCCTCAGTGAAAGAATGGTTTTACTCAATCAGTGGAAAGTCTCATATGATCTTAAATACACTTTAGTGTTTTTCAAAGGGGTAAGTTCAATCTATGGTTCTAATGTACTTGTGATTAGTTTGTAGAAACAATTTAGAGTCTTAGGAACAGAACAGTGTGCACTCTGCTTTTTTAGTAGCCTTCATTTTGAACATAAAAGTTGTGTAAAATATATTTAATTGAATTATCTTGATACTGTTTTTCTTGAAAAAAGCAAGATGGCATCCAGAAAAGAAAAATATGGCTCATTTTTAATAGCTTAAAATAAAATTTGCAAATAAAACTCCTGTTACTGAAGATGAGAGGAATCCTAAATTAATAAAATTATTGTCCGGTTATGTGCCAAATGCCTGGGGAAGTCTGGTATCTGTGGTAGTATAGCAGAAAGTCTGTTCATG